GATAGATAGATAGATAGATAGATAGATAGATAGATAGATAGATAGATGACGGGTAACCTCTTCTTCTCTTTCCCCCTGATGCCCCATCATTCTGGGACAGGGTAAAGCTGGACTCATCAGACCACATGACCTTCTCCCATTGGTCCAGAGTCCATCTGTATGCTCCCTATTGAACTGAAGGCTTTTTCTCTGGTTGGGCTCATTAGTTGGTGTTTTTCTTATGGCTGCACAGCTGTTTAGTCCCAGTCCTGCCCTGCTGCAGAAGAGTTGTCATCCACTACTCTTAATTTCTGAAACGGATTTCAGAATCAGAAACTTTGAACATGTTTTTTTGACAGCTAAGACTTTTCATACACATCTGCCTTCAATCTGAATTGCAAAACAGCACCAATCTCTAATGTGGACACATCGAAGCGAATGATTTTAAGTAAGACTGGATCTGGCTTGCTGGAATTCTACATGTGAGACAACTTTACGCAGAGTCCTCCTCAAGCTGACAGAGCTTAGTTTGATTTCCAAACTTTACTGGATGACATGGTGCAGTCTGTGCAGTCTTTTAGATTGTAGAAATGAGAAAAGAAAAAGAGCTTTGAGACTTGAGCACACATCTTTCATCAATTGAACATTTGGTGCTGACGAAAGTCGCGTAAACTCGCTCATGCACAGATTTATTGTGTTTTGAACACAGTGGCCATTTTTGTATTTTTGTATCAATCTAAGCTTTTCACACTTATTTTTATTCTGACACCTTCAAATGCTTTTAAAACTGCTCAGCTGCCTCTTTGATTGACAGATCCTGCTCTACCAGTTAAGCTTCAAGAGCCAGAGTAAAGCAGCAATAACCCTTCAGGCCATCACACAGCTTATGATTTGTCAAGGGTATATATGTTTTGGAAATGAGTGAACTGTATTTGAAGCCACTACACTATAGGAGCTCCAGTGTGTGGATGAAATGCGGGTGCCCAGAGATTCCCATTACTTGTTTTTCAAATGAAATGCTAACTGTGTTAAGGACTGTTTGATTTTGAGAGAAAACATCTTTTAGTTCTTTGTGGAAAAGTTGCCTGAAACTATACGTAAAGCTCATTTCGCGTCTTTTTCCCCCCTGCAGGTATTTGGGAATCACTCGTCCTCTGACCTACCCCGCGAGGCAGAACGGTCAGCTGATGGCCAAGATGATCATGGGGGTGTGGCTGGTGTCCGCGTCCATCACCCTGCCGCCTTTCTGTGGCTGGGCCAAAAACGTCAACACGGCCGGCGTGTGCCTCATCAGCCAGGACTTCGGCTACACCATCTACTCCACGGCCGTGGCCTTTTACATCCCCATGCTGGTGATGCTGGTCATGTACTACAAGATCTTCAGGGCCGCTCGCAAGAGCGGCGCCAAGCACCGCTTCACCGACCACTCCCGCCGCGAGCGGCTGGAAACGGTGGCGGACGAGGCCATGCGCATGCAGGGCCTGAAGCCCCCGGGTGTGGTGGAGGAGTGCGCCGCCCTGTCCCGCCTGCTGAACCGGGAGCGTAAAAACATCTCCATCTTCAAGCGGGAGCAGAAAGCGGCCACCACGCTGGGGGTGATCGTGGGGGTGTTCGCCGTGTGCTGGCTGCCGTTCTTCATCCTGTCCACCGCCCGGCCCTTCGTCTGCGGGGTGGAGTGCAGCTGCGTGCCCATCTGGCTGGAGCGCACGCTGCTCTGGCTGGGCTACGCCAACTCCCTGATGAACCCGTTCATCTACGCCTTCTTCAACCGAGACCTGCGCTCCACCTACCGGGACCTCCTGCGCTGCCGCTACCGCAACATCAACCGCCGGCTGTCCGCCGTGGGGGTCCACGAGGCCCTGAAGGTGTGACCGTGGGTGGCGAGGCAGTGTGTGTGTGTGTGGGGCGGCGCCGCGCCTGTGCAATTCACCCACAGCTCAAAGGGCACGGCGCACACACAAACAGGACCGAGGATGAGACTGACAAAAAATGGGAGTCGCCGTTGGTGGCTTTCGAGACACGGAGACAGCACAATTACTTCAGTTTGTGGGTGACTCACTCATTCTATTCTTGGAGAGAAAATCATAGAGCGTGCTTGATTGGCCACTCAACCAGACACAGCTTTTGTGCATATGCCCGCGATTACGTTCCTGTTCCAGATTCATGGTGTGATACTGTAGCCGCAAAGAAAATTAGATGTAAACATTCGTTTTCCCCCGGGGGCTTTTAAAGAGACTACCAAGCAAAGGCGAAGATTTCTGTACATTAACAAAAAATTGATGTTCAGTGAGGAAAGCATTTGTTTTGTGGCGTGATGTCTTTCAGATGTCTTCGTTTTAACTTGAGTGCACTCCAGATGTTTTTTTAAAGACCGAAGTTGAACACTTTGAGGTGTTTTTACGTCAATATGGCCGTGATTAGTTTATCTCCTGTCATGGATTTTTAGTTTGAACCTCAGTAAATTCCATGGATGCACCTTAAATGTTTAGAAGCTGATAACAGAAGATAGGGGAGTGGTGTTAAAGCCTTCATGTTTCTCATGGTCTCTTTGTTTGCTGCTGTAAAAGAAAGTGAAAGTGGTTTGTTGGTCGTCTGCATGAAACATTTGTATCACATGCTACCATGCGTACAAGTCAAAAGAGAATCTGATTATTGGATGACAGTTTATGAGAGCTGTTCTCGTGGTTTATTCCGTCCCCTGTGTAACTCACTTGAATCAAACATGAACTCATTACAGTCCGTGTCAGAGGCCACACCAGTGAATGGCTGTACTGCTGTCACTACGCCTTGATCAGTTTAGTTTCCACCAATGGCTCCTGACCTTTTCAATGGAAAAACTGTCAAGCTCCTGGCACTCTTCAGTTTCACTGCTTGTCAGCTGTGTTTCTATCTCCCCTTTGAATCAAGATGCGGTCACTTCCCTCTCGACTACCCCGCCGTTCAAACTTCTCAGTGACCTGAACAGGCCCTTGTCAAATGCCATCAGTTGAGCGGTGTGTGCTTTTTCTACCTCGATTTTATGAGAAGACTGTACATTTCATTCAAACAATCAAATGTATAATTTTGTAATTAATTCTTTTTTTAAAATTGTGAACAACTGCTGTATCGACAATTGTGTGTAACTGCTCTGTGCGAGCGCTTTGTCATCAATTTGAGAAAGCAATCTGAGATGTGGCAAAGTATTCGAACACTTTGTAAATAAAGAAACACTTCAAATGTCACTGTGACTTAAATGTTTATTTATACTCAAACCGAGGGGGGTTCTCCTTTTTCAAACTCAGAAGCCTTTGTATTCCCACATATATTCTTGTTTAGCATTTTGCATCTTTCTTTGAATTCACTATGCTAGCCCAGCATTGATAGGTCTATCATGAAAAATAGATGTGCATCTGGAGGCCAGATAAAAGCTTTCAGAGCATATTTATGTGGTCATTGTGCAACTTTCAAGGACTCTTGAGAGGAGCGATAGAGAATGCTGACCCAAAAAAAGATGGCAACAATCTGTTTGCTTAGAGCAAGACTGTTTATTCGACGTGTAGCTGCTGTTGTCTGCTTGCTGTCATGAGAGACGAGGAGGAAGTGGAATCTAACATGCCATTGAATTTTGGCGTATAGTCAGAAATGATATTGCCTGATGACATTCAGCAAAAAACAAAAACAAAACGACAATCTAACTAAAAGACTTGTTCAGCAGTAGCATGACCAATGACTACCTCACAAAAATGCCTCTGATGTTCTAAGAGATTTAAATAAAATTAATTACCTTCGAGCAAATTACATTTGTGTAGCCATGAGGGACATTGGAGGTCCTGTTGCCCCCTCCAGGACTGAGATGCAAATGCAGTGTGGCCACAAAGAAATGAGCTGGATGGCTTTTCCGATTTACCAACGGGGTTTTATGACGGCAGAAATCTTATGAGGAATACATTAATTTTCTTTATTCTTCAGAAAGCAGTTGCTGCCGTATTCTTAGACCAGTGAAACCCAAACATTCATCCATTTTTGGAGCCACTAATTCCCTAATAGGGTCGCGGAGGGACTAAAGCCTATCCCAGTAGTCCATGGTGGGAAAAAGAGCAAAATAACTGAACACAAAACAAAACAGAGAATTTTATGGAGCCCACCCAGAATAATACAGACATTTTTTACTGATATATTTTTCCTCATTTAGCTTGTTAATATGAATCTCTATCATTTTTTAAATTGAGTACTGAGGAGCACGTTGCTAATGAAAATTAAACAAGAAACAAGCATTGTGAGATTAGCCCCTACAATGGGCTCCAAAAGGGTATTTTAATGAATCAACAAAAACATCCCACATGCAATAAATATGCCTCCTTCCAGCTAATCTTCACAGGAGGGGTGTAAAATGTGAAGTCTCTCTCTGTTTATCCGTGGCAGATAAAGTAGGAACGACAGGTCCTCCATTAATAGCTCTGACTCAGTCTTCGTGTGACTTTTTTTATCTTATTTGAAATCCAGCCATGTGTTTTCGGTGCCTGTGAACGGGACTATTGCCCGCAACAAAAGCATGATTATAGCCTCTGTTGATATTTTCAGAAGTTTAGATTCTGTTCATGATTTGAGAATGGAGATGTTCTCCTTTAACTTTAGTTGTGGTTGCTTTAATTTCAGTTTTTCTGTGACAAAAACAACTTTTTTTTACAGAATCCCTGGGTGGTTTTGTTTTATCAGCTAAATGTAATCCCTGCACTAGTTAATCTCAATATTTATCCAGAACAAGACCAACAATGCTGTGCATGGAATGATTACAATAACAAAAACTTGCATCAAAGTTAACTAGATCGAATGTATGGGCTATGCAAGGCAAATTAGTAATTTCTCAGCAATTCAAATGAGGTTACTGCAGATGTTTTAAAAAATATTTCTCAGAATAAAATCATAATTCAACAGAAATCTTTTTTTTAAATCAAATACTAAACAAGGATCTTCCTGTTCAGTTTGAAGTAGCATTTCAGCTTTTTCATGGGACATTTCCCCTTTGATACTTTTCTCATGTCTACAACCAAGTTCCTCATTAAGAGTTAACTGACTTGGTATTAAATGATCTGGATCCAGAATATAATTATTCATTCTCCATTTTGCCATCTGCTCAATGATTTGGTGGGGCAGTTCCATGAAGCACATCCAATTTGACACTGTTGTAGAAATAAGTGCCAATTGAGCAACGATACATTTCCAAACATCAGCCATAACATCTTATCAGATGAAGCTTTGTGGATTCAAGTGTATTTATTTAGGGTGCGGTTACATAAAAATGTTACAAACTCCCCCGACAATATAGAAAGAAAATGGCCCAAATTAGCTCGTTCACATTTTTGTTTCATCACAATGAACAATTCAGTGGTGAACCTTGTGCATTGCTCCAAACTGGTCCAGTGCCCCGGCAGCCTTGTCAACAAGCATTACTCTTGGGGGATGAGCAGCATTGTGCCCCGGAGGCACGCCTTCTCTCTCATCAGTGTGACTTGGCGTGTCTGAAGGCGCCCAATGTGTGTCACAGCTATCGACGAATAGAAGACGAGACTGAAATATCTCTGCGTGAAGAAGTGGAAAGATTCATCAAAGGGAAGCGGATAGTAGCAGATGAGTGTTTCGCATTTGCTGTCACGGGTCTCGGTTGCTGACAGGCTGTGTGGGCCGATGGGGCAATAGACACTCTCGCCTTGCCGTTTTCATCTGACCCAGCAATTAAGTGGAGATGCTTTGACAAAGAATGTGTAAATTGGCACGGTTCCCAGCTGTGGGAAGAGAGGTTTTTTTGTTCTTTGAGAGTGAAACGCCATGGTTTTACATGGTCAAATCTTTTAACCTTTGTTGGGACAAATGGCTAAGATGTAAACATGCTTCCACCATGTGATTCGAACTGAATAAGCTTTAGGCATGAAGCATGTGTGGTGAAAATATTTGCACCGCATGCATTCTTAACAAACAAAACTACATTTTTGGTGTGCTATAGCAGAACAATAACGTTTTTTTTAACTTGGTTTTGTTTAAGACCGCCAGATTCCATGGTGTACACTTCACGCCTAAATAGTAGCGCTTGGTGAAGGAAACTGTTTACAGAGCTTTCTGAATCTTCAGACTAAAGCTTCAACAGGGCTGTTTGAGAATCCTGGAGGGATCAGATGATCCATCTCTATGCGGGAGTCTCCCTCCTGATAATCTCTTTTAAGAGTAAAGAGACTTTTAACAGTTTGATCTGCATTTTCATGTCTTTTAGATGAAATAGGAGCTGCTGATCCACTCTTCAACTGTATTCCTGATGTGTTAAACAACGCTTTACAAACCTGATGAAAAAGATGAGTGCACACATTTCGGTCTTTGTTTAGGCGTGCATTTACCATGTCTTGTGACCCCTGGAGTGTGATGACATATTGGAGATGGGCATTATATACAGAAGTGAAAAGTCACAACCTGTTGAGCTCTTCTGTCAGAGAAAAAGAAACACAGAATGAGACTGGTGTTTCCAGACATTGTTTTGTGTCCTACCAGCAAATACACCTTCCACCTCTCCTGAAAGAACAAAAGTTGAGGGGAAAAAAAAACCTCATTGATTATTTCTTACTGTGATAGTAATTAACAGATAATCAAAAGCTTTTACGCGAAAGGTCGACACGTCTAAAAACAGGTTTGGCACAAGAAAAATATGATTCTGATGATATTAACGTTATTAGTCTTTGCTGTTTTCCAGTGATTTCAATCTTTGAATTCCGTTTTCCTTCATGTTTTTCCTTTGGAGAGATATTACATACAAGCCTCGAGAGGTTAACGCTTACTGAAATACAGAATCTGAATGTGTCCTCCAGCACTGTATGTAATGTAAACATAAAAGTGTTCCTTCAACCTG